GCTTGCGCGCGCGCCTGCTCCTGCAAGAAGACAGTGCCCTGGAGCTAGAGTTATAGGAGGTGAGCTACCCAAATGGGTGCTGGGAGCCTAACTCAGGTCCTCTACGAGAGCAGTGAGTGCTTTTAACCACTGAGCCATCTCTCCAGCTGTCTCTTGAATACTTTTGGGCACAATTATATTATTCCTAGGTGGTTCATTTTATTGCTCTTGCTTCATAACAGCCATACAGTGTACACATTCTTTTGCATGCATTGAAAACAATTAAAAGTTTCAAAAGGGAGGAACCCTCAGAAAAGTTATTTATTCCTTTACACAACTTGGGAAAATTGGAGGGAATTTTATGCTTCAAACTCTGACTTTCGGCATGAAACACACTTAGGTCACTGGCCTGGGCTTTAGGAGAAGTTGGTGCCAGATCATTGGGCAACGCTGGGTTCAGAGTTGGAACTCCTTAGCTCCATTCCCACCTTGAACTTCCTTTTCAGATGTGAGACAAACTATAGAGTATGCTTCCCCCTGGCAAGTAGATTCCCATACAGGAGAGAGAGAGAGAGAGAGAGAGAGAGAGAGAGAGAGAGAGCACACACTTGTCTCTGCTCTGCAGTGGAGGACAGAGGTTGGCTTTGCATGTCTTTCTATCACTCTCCACCTTCCCAGGTTGGCAGCTCCCTGGAATCCCATTGCCTCTCCCTCACTCCAGTGCTTCCAGTAGGCTTTTATGTGGATGCTAGGGGTTAGAACTTAGATCCTCAGGCTTGCACAGCAATATCTTCAATCTCTAGAGTCAGGTTTTCATTGGCACCTAAGCTAGTCCTCAGAGATAAGGTGTATGGCTTGACTTAAGGAACCTCCCAGTTGCTCAGGTTTTTTGTTTTGTTTTGTTTTGCTTTTCTTCAAGACAGGGTTTCTCTGTGTAGCTTTGGAGCCTGTCTCCTGAAACTCGCTCTAGAGACCAGGCTGGCCTCGTACTCACAGAGATCCGTCTGTCTCTGTCTCCCGAGTGCTGGGACTAAAGGCATGTGCCACCCACCGCCCGGCTTAATTTTTATTTTATATGCATGTATGGATGTGGACCATTTGCATGCAGTACCGGAGGAGGCCAGAAGAGGGTGTCGGATCCCCTTGGAACTGGAGCTGCAGACTGTTGTGAGCTGCCATGTGGGTGCTGGGAGTCAAATCCCAGTCCTCTGGAAGAGCAGCCAGTGCTATTAACCCTTGAGTTATCTATCCGGCCCCATCACCTTAAGTTCTGAGACAGAATCTCTTACTGACCATGGACCTCACTAGGTCAGCTGATCAGCAAGCTTCAGGAGCCTTCTTGTCACCACCTCCCCAGTCCTGAGACAAAGGATGCTTGTCCTCAAGTTTATGTGATAAGCACTTACTCACTGAGCCGTGCCCCAGCCTTCCCATCTCCCCTTTTATGTGCAGAGATGGCACTGTGTGCTTTGTGTGTAGAAATGGTTTTTCTCTGGGGGGGGGGGGCTAGAGAGATAGCACAGAGTTAAGAGCACTGGCTGCTCTTCCAGAGGTTCTAAGTTCAATTCCCAGCAAACACATGGTGGCTCACAACCATCTATGATGAGATCTGGCGCCCTCTTCTGGCCTGCAAGAGTACATACAGACAGAACACTGTATACACAATAACTAAATCTTAAAAGAAAAGAAATGGTTTACCTCTTTACTGCCCCAGCTCTGGCTGGGGCAGAGCCCAGGTGGTATCAGCTGTGTATGTCATCCTCTAACGTTCTAGAAAAAGCCAAGCATAGTGTGAAAACCTGGGTAATTTTGGCACTCAGGGGTGGAGGAGGAGATAGGATCACGAGTTCAAGGTCAGCCTCAGCTATGTAAAAGTTCAAGGTCAACCCACGCTACAGGAGACCTCATCTCAAACAACTGCTCTCCCCCCCCCCCCCAAAAAAATAAACCAAGGGGCTGGGGAGATGACCCAGTCAGTAGGTATTTTGTTATACATAGAAGAGAACCCAAGTTTGAGTCCTTAGCACTTAGGTGCAATGTCAGAGGTGACGCCAGGTGTCTGTAATCCCACTGCTTGGGAAACTGAGGCAGCAGATCCCTGGGGTTAATGACCAGTTAATCTTGCTGAACCAGTGAGTTCCAGCTTCATTGAGAAATCCTGCCTCAAAAAATAAGGTGGAAGAGCTGGAGAGATGTCTCAGCAGTGAAAAGTGCTTTGCTGCTCCTGCAAGAAGACCACTCGGGTGGCTCCCAACCACTTGTAATTCCAGCTTCAGAGGGCTCTACACCCTCCTGTGCTAATGTGTATGCATGAATATCGATTTACTCTGCTTTTCTGTTGCACACACTGAATCAAAACTAAGGTGGGGTAGGAAAGGGGCTTATCTTAATTGTTCTATTATCAAGAAAAACTTGGAAGTCAGATGTTGGAGTAAAAGATCAAGAAACTGGTGGAGGAACAACCAACTGACTTTCCGAGCTTCCAAGATTGAGAAAGCCCACAAATCTTTCTAAGCCCCTCCCTACTCCTTCTTGTGCCTCTCTATCTTATCCTGGGTCCCCCAAAATCTCTATGGCTAATTCTGGTCAGCCAGTCACTGACTCCCCTCCTGATTCAAGGTTAACTTTATTAATAGTCTCAAGTGTCACAGTGCAACAGGTGTGAACTCAAGGCAGGAACCTGAAGTCAGGAACTGAGACAGAGCATGGAGAAAGGAAGCTTACTGGTTTTCTTTCTTGGTTTGCTCGGCTATCTTTCTTATATGACTTAGTGAGCTGGGCCCTGCTACATCAACTGGCACTTTTTTTTAAAAAACAGCTTCACAAATGTGGCCACAGGCCAATCTGACCTGGGCAGTTCTACAGCTGAGGGCCTCTTTTCCCAGGTCGCACTAGTTTTCGTTAAGCTGACAAAAACTAACCAGTGCCTGTGTGAACACCCCCCCACACACACAAACAAACAAATCTTTAAAGAGAAATAATAAACAAGGTGGGGGCTGGAGAGATGATGGCTCAACGGTTAAGAGTACTGCTTTTCCAGAGAGCTTGGGTTCAATTCCCAGCACCCACATTGCAGCTCACACCTGTCTGGAGCTCCAGTTCCAGAGGATCTGACACCCTTACACAGACATAATGCAAGGGAAACCCAATGCACATAAAATTAAAAGAAAGAAAGGAAGAAATAAGGTGTGCAGTGATAGAGTAAGACACTGGATACTGCTTCTGGCTTCCACACCAGTGTACACCCATGGTACACACACCTATATCTGCATACGCACACAGGTACCACACACACAGACCCCAAACAAACAAACAAAACTAAAACCAAAAGTGGGTAAAAAATCACAGAATTACTTTGAAGATTTTCATTTATGTTTGTTACACAATAAGTACAAAATTCTTTCTTTGTCTCTTTCAACCCCCCCACCAACCCCCCCACATATGCAATCATTGATTCTAAAGACTTTTTTGTTGGTGGTTTCTTGTATTTTTGTATTTTTTTTTTGAGACAGGGTTTCTTTGTATAGCCCTGGCTGTTTGTAGACCAGGCTGGCCTCTAACTCTCAGAGATCTGCCTGCCTCTGCCTCCCAAGAACTGGGATTAAAGGAGTGCACTGCCACTTCCCAGATTTGTTTTTAATTATATCTATATGTGTATATGTGTGCTTGTGCAGGTGAGTGAAGATTCCGCTGGAGGCCAAAGAGTGTGTCAGAGCTTCTGGGGTTATAGGCAGCTGTGAGCTGCCTGGTGTGGGTGCTGGGAACTGAACTTACATTCAGGGAGGATTCTGGGAGAGCAGAAAGCACTTGTAACTGCTGAGCCATCTCTCCAACCCTCCACATCCATTTGCCCTTTGTTTAAATATTTAAGCTAATCAATGTTACTTTAGTCTTGCCAAAGTGTTTTGGTTTTTTGTTTCCAGGTGAGAGAATTAAAAACATGAAATGTTTTGTTTGTCTTGGTTATATACACTATTTCAATTTGGGATTATTATTATTATCATCATAAGTTATTAAAATACTTTAAGACTTCCATTTTATTCAGATGAGGTTGACTTC